GTCATGACAAGGTTTGAACTTCCTACATGGGTTCCCTTGTGATCGGTGCAGCCTCTATAATGCCGGTGAAACTCGTTCGAGGATCACACAAGCCAATCTTTGAGCCACTCCCTATAACTCCCGTATAATTTTCTAACTAGGTCATTTTCTGACCAAATAGTGCCATATATGGTAAACGCGGTGGCCTCAAATTCGTTCCGTAGGGGGATCTCAGAGACCATTTTTAAGGTGAACTGTGCCTTTAAGTACTCAACAGGTTTGACTACTTCCTATTACCTTTTTTTTGCCAGTCAAAACAGTGTGGTCTATTTTGGTCAATCAGCCAGATTAAGTGCAGGGTAATTGTAATGGTATAACCCGTCCTGGGGAACGTGGTCGGGTAGGCAGTCGAGAAAGCGAACAGAAAGAAACACTTTTCTGGAATGGGTTAGAGCTGAGAAGGGAGGGAGTAGATTACAGTCGCTCATACGGATTATGGATTTACACGAAGAGTCCTTCATGGTTCAAATAGAAGAAAAAGTCCTTGCGACGATACTGATTGCGTGGGTGCCATGCATTGATAGGCCCCTTCCATTCCTTCTCCCTGTCCTGCTGGAAAAGCATCCTGTAATGGTTCACAGGGCCATATAGTCAAATGCCAAAACTGCTGATCATTACAAAGCTGTCGCGAAATGTCTCCATGTTGTGTACCCTGCCCTGGATCAAGCTTGAATACTACGGGAAAATTACATAAACTACGACCAATAACATATCACACGGATTTTATAGCCAAGTAGAGGGTGATACCGCAGCCAAATAAGGGTGATACCGTGACCAGTAATATCTACCAGCCAGAGGCCGCTAAAAGTCTATCTAGTTATGTTCCTGTCCAACGACTTGATTAAATTAATATTTCAAAGGTTGAGGAGGATATAACCTCCTTACATTAGCGAAAAAATTAGTGTATGTAGCGCTGACATAGCAAAAATTATTGGAAAGAGCCTTGTAAGGGATCAAAACAAGCGAAATAAAGTTCGCTCAGTCTGTGTGGGTTCGTCCCCTCTCCCCCTGTGTGATTGGGAACAGTGTGTAGCTATTAGGTTGATGCATAATTATTGCGGATTTTTTCGCGGCTTTTTTTCTCTCAAGAGAATTTGAATATTGAGTTTGGGTTTTTTTTCTAGAAATGATCTACTTGATTTCCTCTACAAGAATGTACTCAAAAAACCACCCGCATATTCGCTAAATTAGGCTTTACTACCTCGAGAAAGATTGGAAGGTGGCGCACTCATTCCGCGATCTCAGTAACGTTTCAGCGATCGTTCATTAGGTGATCTAGTGAAGGTACACATGATGTCCTGGTGGTCAAACACGGTCAAATACGGTCAAACATTTTGATATTTTCCATTTCCCTGCATTTTACCTGCCTCTATATATTAGGTTGATGTACAATTATTGCGGATTTTTCCAGCGAATTTTACATAAAGAAATTATAGAAATACCAAGCAAAGACATATACAAATAATTACTCCGGAACTTATTTATCATCTACGTCAAGCACTGCTTCCCATTGATTAGTTAGTCGGATCCCAAAAGCGAAGAAGTTTTGATCCTTACGGGCGATCCACGCCTTGACATCGGCCATCAAGTCATCCACATCGACGTAACTTCTATCCTCTAGTCATTTTTTCGATGAACGGTTGACGAGATAATCCATAAAAGTTTCTGCTGGTGAATACGGCAGATTTAGGGGCAGATCCCATTTCTTGGTTGGCTCTGGCTGATTGTTCGATCGCCGGAAAGTTACTGAGATCGTGGAATGACGGTGCCACCTTCCAATCTTTCTCGAAGTAGTTAAGCCTAACTTTGCGAATATGCGGACGGTTTTTACAGTATATTTTCTGTAAAAAATCAAGTAGATCATTTCTAGAAAAAACTCTAACTCAATATTCAGATTCTATCAGGAGAAAAAAGCCGCGAAAAAATCCGCAATAATTATGCATCAACCTAATAGTTTAACCACTGAGTATCTCTATTTTCTCTCGCTCACAGAACACCTTCTATGCTCTGAAAACTTTAAGTTTGCATTGGCTAAGAGCTAGAAATCTGACTAAAAACTGTGAAATATAGGGGAGATTTGAGGTGTTGCATCATACTATTCCATTCATCCCGCTTCTCCTTTTTTCACCTATCTTGAAAAGCCTCTGCTCGATGGGATAGTGGTGCTGATTCTCGCGGCTGTGGTTCCGCGGTTACCGTGTCCGTCCACTAGGAAGTCAAACATTTCCCTTCATGAAGAGCGAGTGCACGCGGGTGCGACAAGCGCGGGGAAAGGTACCCACACCGGCTCAATGTGGCCGCTGAAGAACATCGGAGTTCATGCAGTTAGCATACTTTTAGACCAAGGTTTTTCCATTCGGTATTGGACAAGGTCGTGCTATCACATGATGGGAGTCATAAATAGAATTGATGGGTTTTTTCAATTGGTGAGAAGGGTAGGCGTTTAACAGATAGTTCTCCTCACCATGACCGCTCCTTGGTGAGGGTGGGAGAGGGGGACCATTCTTTGGGCTAATTTTGAGGAGGGCTACATAATTTAGCTGGAAAAAAGTCTCATCACACACAATCTCGATGAAAGATGTGCAGGCCTTAGAAACTTCATTAAATGGTCACCACTCAATGAACACTTATCTCAATCCCCTTGATGTTTTCCTGGGAATTTCAACCAGATTTCCCATCAATTCAACTACAATACCATCCCTCCTTATCAACAAAATGTACTGGAATTTCTTTGCACCCAATGGTTTCAAATTTCACATAGCAAGTGCAAGTCGATTGGAGCTAGTTGTGTGCGCTCAAGAAACTTTCCCCACTGGTTCCACCATATGCTGAATTTGAAAATTTTGCTGGGGCAATTTAAGGCGTATTTAGACGAGAGGCCGTACTTTCAGGGCAAAAAATCGACAACTGCCGTGCAGGATCTGAATTGGTGGCATGAACTGGTTTACATTCAAACAAAAACGAAAATCACAATTCAGCCATTAAGAAAATCAGCGCTCGACAACGAAGAGCAGCTTGACGAGGTGCGCAACACTATTGTGGGCTATCATTCATCCTAAAACATTGGGGGGCTACCAGGTAAGGGTCCCCCATTTGTGTACCCTCAAGAATATTATTGAAAGTGTTACGGAA